GGCATTGTATTCCTGAGAGGCACCTTTCTATAGGAGATGACCAAGCTGAGCCTGAGGGAGGGATCAAGCGCATCATCAGTCTTGAGTCCCTTCATGCCCACAAGAGATCAAGTCCAGCCCACCTTGACTTCCATCGATTCTTATCTCCCGCTAATTTCCCTTGGCTGTTAGTAGTTCAGATTTTTGCAGAGAGCTTAGCCTGCATTAAATCTTTATACCCATTTGAACTGCCTTGATCTTCTGACTTCCCTGACGCTTGACATTTCCTGGTTTATTGAGTCAAAATTTCAGTAACTGATGGTTTAAGGGCTTTATGAATAAGAGCTTTAAGGCAGTCTGTGCTCTATATTTATATCATGGAAAGGGAAGGAATGTTACCGATTGATGGAAAGATTTTAAATTTTATTCCAATTTTAAAACATTTTCTAGATCAAAACACTCTTGCCAGGTGAACATCAGCAGGTTTTAAGCAACTTGCAGTCTCGCTTTGATGACTTCTTGGAAGACAGCCAGGAGTCCAAAATCTTCTCTGTTGCTGACATTGCCCAGTTGGAAAGGGAAGTGAATGTATGCAAGCAGTACTACCAAGAGCTCCTTAAGTCTGCTGAGAGAGGCAAGTATATTAATCATCTCAGAAAGGATACTCTTATAAATTCCTTGATGTGATATATTGTTGTAGATGCAGTATTTTCAGCTTTGTACGCGTCAACTACAGTATTTTAATTGGATCATAGCAACACTAGTGCAAAGTTGAAGGTTTTTGGTTGTCAGTAACAGAAAAGAGGGGCCACAGTCTTCTGTATCCTTTCTTTCCAGGTTTCCTTGTCATGTGATCAATTATTCACATGAGTTAGCTAGCTAGTAATATAGGTTGCACATCTGATATATGTGTGTAGAAGCAGGAAGCTTCTTCTAAGATGAGGAAAATAAAATCATACTTGAAAAAGAAGAAAGTGACCCCTACCAATGGCTTACAGTTTGCCTCCTTTTCATTATGGTTGCTGGTAGTCCACTTTCTACATGTGGTTGTGGAAGAAACATCTGACAGTTTTGCATAAGTGCTCTCATTTGAATAGCATGCATTCTGATTTCATTTGAGGCTCTAAAATGAATGCTGGAATATGTAGATATTTTTGGAGAACAGATTATTACTTTAGCAGGCTGATGTGGAAATAAATTTTGCTTAGTGCTGATGAAGAATGTATATTCTGTATTGTTAGACTGCCAATATAAATTACTAGGAAGAGCATATCTACTGTTCTCTTTAAAAAATATCTGCATTTGCATAACATAACTCTATAGTCTTCTATCAAACTTTTTGAACATTCATTCTTACATGTATAAACGTGTCCATTCTTAAAATGTTCAATACTCTTAAGCTTCAAATACCTATATAATTCTAAAAAGCTGGGTGTATATATTGTAATTATTTATTCACATTCTAATGATACAGAAAAGCACAGAGGAGCAGATTACAGCTAATTAAAATGAACTTAGGTCATTCTATAGAATAATGATATGCTGGGTTGAAATAAGAGATAAGGGATTCATTACTGTAGCCTTAATATGATCCTACAGTAGAATCATCTCAAGAAGAACCGTGCGTAGGCAATCCAATTAAGCAGTACCAATGCAAATGGAATTATAGCACCTATGTTTAATAGGATAATCACTTTTTGTAGAAATTGCTTGGATTCATAAAAAAAATCTAAGAATAAGAACATTTAAGAGAAGTTACATTATTTACACATAAAGATTAATTCTTATGCAAACTGTTTTTGTAATGTTAAAATTTACGGGAAATTTGCGGTGCCTGAAATTCAAGATGACTTTTTTTTCCCAAATAGAAAAGATATTTTAAAGATGGTAGAAAAGGTTAGAAACAAGAAATACATAACACCGTTCCTTTCCCCCCCCCCCCACATCACATTATTATCACATCCAGTATTTCTCATTATCACTATCCAGAACAGTTGGTTGCACGTTATTTTGGATTTCAAGGAGAGTTATATTTCTAAACTTTGAAACTTTAATTGTAGAATATCATGGGGTAGCAGATGAAAAATAAGATCGGTTGGCTTAACTTACGTTTGCATTGGTTTCAACAGAGGAGCATGAAGAATCTGTTTATAATTTATACATCTCAGAAGTTCGAAACATCAGACTTCGATTGGAGAATTGTGAAGATCGTTTGATTAGACAAATTCGAACTCCTCTGGAGAGGGATGACCTACCTGAAAGTGTGTTCCGTATCTCTGAACAAGAGGTAACTCTTCTCAATTTGCTGATGAAAACTACCTTTTTGAACATTGTAATCAAGTTCGAACAACTTTTATTGCATTAAATTAATTGGATAAAACTACATCTGTTGAGGGTTTTTGTTTTAAATACTCAGAATAAGGGCAAATTGTTACAGATTGGAATCAAAGTCTTCTGGAAGAATAAATAGAATTCATCTCTGCACCGTCAAAATTCATATGAGATACAATACTCCAAGGAAGTATTTAGTGATCCTATTAGAGCTTTCCCTTCCTAATCAGGCACAGTTCCAATCCAGATTGTTACTATTTCCTCCCAACCCTATCATTACTCGTAAAGTAAAGAAAAGAAATTGGGCCTTCTTGCTTTCTGAATCCTCTGATAGTTTCATTTGACCTGGTCAGATGAAGATCATTCAGACACAAACACAAATACAAATTATGGTGCCAAAATTGAGACAACATTAT